GAAATCTGGTCACAGAAAAAAATAAATAAATGCTATAAATTCAAAGTGTCCTAATAAAATTGTGCTTATAGAGAAAGCAGAAAATATCAGATAGGGTCTGGGGCTGCAGCTCAGTGGTAGAACACTTGCCTTGCATGCATGAGTTTCGATCCTCAGCACCACATAAAAATAAACAAATAAAATAAAGGCATTCTGTTCATCTACAACTACAAAAAAAAAAGAAAAAGAAAATGTCAGATAAATGATAAGTCTTGAAAAGGATCATTATAATATTTTGTTAACTTTCTATCAGCTTTCACTTGACAAAACAGGAAAAGACTAAAAAACAATAATAAGGGAACAATCTTACATCGAAATAAAGTGCTACAGGATAACATTTTCCCAATTTTCAAACCTCAGTATTATGCTGGTTAACACAGAGGAAAAATAAAATTGTGGAAATAGTAAATTTGGCACATATTTTGCAGCCATTTTTTCATATATATCTTCCCCCTTTCTGTTTTCTTTTAATTTAATCTAATTTATTATATATGACACAGAATGCATTTCAATTCATATTACACATATGTAGCACAAGTTGCTACATATCTCTGGTTGTACACAACATAGAGTCACACCATTCGTGTTTTCATACATGTACCTAGGGTAATGATGTCCATCTCATTCCACTGCCTTTCCTACCCTCATGCCCCCTCCCTTCCCTTCCTCCCCTTTGCCCTCTCTAGAGTTCATCTATTCCTCCCATGGTCTCACCCCCATCTCCATTTGGAATCATCATCCTTACACCAGAGAAAACATTTGGCATTTGTTTTGGGGGGATTGCCTAACTTCACTTAGCATTATATTCTCCCACTCTATCCATTTACCTGCAAATGCCATGATTTTATTCTCTTTTAATGCTGAGTAATATTCCATTGTGTGTATGCCACATTTTCTTTATCCATTCATTTACTGAAGGGCTTCTAGTTTGGTTCCACAGTTTAGCTATTGTGAATTGTGCTGCTATAAACATTGATGTGGCTTTGCAGCCATTTTAATTTTTTTTTAATTTTTTATTTTTTTTATTGGTTGTTCACAACATTACAAAGCTCTTGACATATCATATTTCATACATTAGATTGAAATGGGTTATGAACTCCCAATTTTACCCCAAATGCAGATTGCAGAATCACGTCGGTTATACATCCACAATTTTACATAATGCCCAATTAGTAATTGTTG